GGCTAAACCGGCCTGCGGGGAGCCACACCCTCCGCTGGGCCCTGTGGCTCCAGGCAACACCATGGGAATGGGCTCTGGCAGGGACAGCGCTGGATGCTGGGCACGTGGCCAGAGAAGCCGGCACATGTGTGGATGACCTGTGAGTGGCTGCAGGGAGGTCCCAACCCCAGGGCCTCCTGTGGGGGACCCTGCACGGCCAGGGTATGGGGAAGCCCACAGGGCATGCTCAGGAGTGAGCAGCCTCTTTGGGAACACCCAGGGGCCAGGCATGTCCTCCCCGCCTGCCTGCCCACAGGAGGCCATGGCCTGTATGCAGATGCAAGGGCAGCGGCACACACCCAGCAGGAGGAGGGGCCAGAAAGGTGGGGCAACGTGTCTGGGGCACATGGGCGTGGTGGTGCCTTGTGCCACCTCAGGACCTGCTGGCTGCCACGGGGAGGAAGCTGCTCGGCAGGAGTGGGGCCGCACAATGGCCAGGCCAGCAGCCCAGGCTCAGCATCAGGCTCTGCACCGAGGCCAACGGTCCTGCCAGGCACCTGCCCTGATTGGGCGTCGTCCCTCAAGGCTGGGAGAGCGTGGGTGAGTCGTCTGAGGCAGCAGCCTGAGATGGACACTGAGAAACCCCAGCACATACACATTGGACAGGGACAGGGGCCTGCGGGGGCTGCCCAGGGCTTGCCCGCCTTCTCGCCAGAGAATCCTGGGCCCAACCAGGACGTGGTGTCAGAGCTGTGACCCCAGAGCCTCCGTCCTGCCCCCCCAGAACCCATGGGGCGCTCTGCTGCCCACCCTCACAACGCCAGGCTCAGTAGTGCATGCCCAGCAGACCTGCTGCCCCACAGCCACAGCCGGCAGCCTCGTGGGCACAGAACTTGTGTCCAGGGAGCCCCACCCTGGTGGAGCTGCTGTCACCCGCAGAGAACCAGAGGCTGTCCCAGGAGGCCACGCCCTGTAGAGTGGCACAGGGCAGGAGTGACAGGCACAACCCTGTCAGCACCGACTGCCCCGTGTCCCCGAAGACCCAAGGGAGCAGTGTGAGCCCACGCGGCGCAGCCGGGCTGAGACTGAGATGCCACATGCACCGCCTGCCTGAGCTCTGCAGGACTACGGGCTGCAAGACCTATGCCGGCAGCCTGGCCTGCTGCCAGGCGACCAAGACCAGCAGGCCCCAGGCTCCCCGCTGGGCTGCCCTCCCTGACCTCTGGGTGCTGCCCCAGCACCCCCACAGCCAGTCTCGGCGCTTGCCAGCCCGTGATAGCGTCATCTGGGTCACTCCCCACAGGCAAACGGTGGCACCGGACAAGCAGGCCCTGGCTTGGCTCACCCTCTGCCCAATGGAAGTGGTCACGCAGAGCCCGTCAGAGACCTCAGGGAATGGGCACTAAGCTGCGTGGAAGTGGGGACACGGAGTCAGGACACAGCAGGGCCCAGCACCAGCTCTGAACTAGGACAGCTGGCAGCACCAGGCCACATCACATCCACTGTGCCAACCGCAGGGCAGGGCCCCAACAGCAGGGCTGGCCTGCCTGGCTCATGCTGCCCTGAAGCACGGGCTGAGCTGGGACAGACCCTGGTCTTCGGTGCGTGGGGCCCACGAAACACCAGGACCTAGGTCAAGAGGAGGCAGAGGTCAAGGGCGTCCCCTCTGTGGTAGGGAGGGGCAGGCGGCCTCAGGGGATCCTAGAGCTGAGGGACAGGAGCCTGTCGGGGGACCCCAGCTCTGCCTTTCCACACCTGCCTGCATCCTGTGGTGACCAGCCCCAAATCTCCAGAGGAAACACGTGGCCTCACTTCTGGGGAGGCAGAGGGCCCCAGCCTCTTGTCCTGGTAAGAACCAGCCTTGCAGCCACCCGGCCGCTGTCCCGCTTTGCTTCCCTGCAGGCTTGAACCCGCGCCAGGGCTCGGATGTCCCCAGGTGCTGAGAAAGATGTTCAGGCTGTTCCCCAAAACAGAGACTGAGCCCGGCTCAGCCCAAGTGCCTCCACCCTCACGGGCCACACACACGGCATCTCGAGGCACACAGACCGGCTGTCTGCGGAGGGTACACTGCAGCCACACCGAGTCCCCAGCAGACACTGCGGGTTGAGCAGCTGGGCCCCACCTCGGGCTAGTCTGAGGCCACCCCACAGGAGCTCCCTGCTGCTACCTTGGGGGCAACCCTGTGGTTCGGCCGGACCAGATCAGGGGGAGAACCTGGGCCAGGGCTGGGAGGGGACACCTTGGAGGCACGGTGGGTGACAAGAGCTGCTGAGGAGGGACAGGGAGGCACCTGGGGAGGCTGTGCCATGGGGGGCATGGGGCCTGTCTCACCTTGTCCCACAGGGACTGCAGCTCCTCCTGCCCTCCCAGGTCCCAGAACATGAGGCGAGCCTTCCCCACGTCCACGGTGCCGACTGGAGGGGAGAACGGTGTGCTCGGCCTTGCTCCAGGACGTGCCGACCCACGCCGGTGCTCCTCGGAGCTGCCGTGAGCCCCACGCGGCCCGTGCACGGCACAGCCCCTCCGGGCGCAGCCCAAGCCCAGCCCTGGGTGCCCCTTACTGTTCAGGCCCACTGTGGTGGTGATCTTGGACAGGCTCATCCCCTTGTAGTTCCTGTTGAAGCGGGTTTTCGACTGCTCCAGGAAGGTCTGCAGACAGAGCGAGCGACGCCATGGACAGGGCGAGGGGCTTTCCGTCTGCGTCCCCGACAGCCTTTCTGGGCTTATCCCCTCAATGACAGGGCAGGCACCAAACGTCTCGCCACAGAACACCGTGAGGGGAGTGGCTAGGGAAGGTGTGCCCAGGCCCCCCGAGGGTCTTGTCCCTCTCCTGGCTCAGGCGAAACACAGGCCCTTTGGCAACCAAGGCGTGCAGTGGGGCCGGCAGTGGGGAGTCTGGGTGAGTGGGTTTGCAGCCCCTGCCTCCCTGGGTGGGTGCAGGCGGCTGTGACCCAGGCTGGCTGGGGGTGGGGTGTGTCTCTCTCTCTCTCTCATGCAAGAGATAAAGTTAAAAACGAGGTAGCGGCAGCGGCCCCAGGCAGGGAAGGGCACTCACCGTCTTCCCCGCATTGTCCAGGCCCAGGATCAGGACGCAGTACTCGTCCTTCTGGAACATGTACTTGTACAGGCCGGACAGCAGCGTGTACATCCTGCCCCGGGCACCTAGGAGACGTGCGGTCGGGCCAGGGCCTCTCCCAGCCCACCTGCCGCCAGCTCCACAGCGACCCTGCTCTCAGAGGGTCAGGCCCGTCCCCTGCCCAGGACCGCCCCGACCCCGGGCAGCTTGCAGGCGGCTGGAGCAGGCGCCCACCTTCCAGAGACCGGGGCGCACAGCGGGCGGGCCTGCAGTGGCCCCGAGCAGGTGCGGACTCCTGCAGCCGCAAGGCCCCCTGCGCCGGGTTCACCCCACCGCCCATGGCCTGAGGATCAGAGCGGACCCCTGGGGTCCCTCCGTGCGTCCGGGGCTCCCCGTCCCGTCCCCCGCCTCCCCCACCTGCCCGCACCCCCAGCCTCGC